TTTTTGGGCTCTGGATACGGTTTCTAGTAACTGTTGCATCAGATATCCTGGGCTGACAAACCGGAGGTGCTGGCTCTTCTGCCACCCTCGCAAGCTTGAGTCTCGCCACCGGGCTGTGTGGAGGCGCGTGCTGGCTGAGCAGAGTCTCATTCCAGATGGCAAAGCCTCCCTTTCTCTTTTGCTTATAAGATTTTTCATTCCTTCTGTCCAGAATGCCCCAAAAGACAAGACAGGAGCTCATCGAACTGTTCAGTATCCTCACCTGTGCTAGTAATTTTGCCAGAATGCTGCCAGAGGTCTACACTGAGTGAGTCTATTGATGGTACTTGGCAGAAAAGGAAGAGTGCTTGCTGACTTGTGCAAAGGCTTGTCCGAGATACTGAATTGATTTTTTTTTTCTTTTTTTTTTTTCCCCCCAGGTGGGTTGGAGGCTCAGCCACTTCAGCTTTCTTAGAGGCTTTTCTGAGTCATAGGAAGGTTTAATACTTGTATGTAATAAATGATTTTTTTTTTTTTTTGAGTAAAACCAGCAGGAAGTATGCTTTCTGGTTCTTGAAACAAAATGAGGGTTTTTGTTTCTTACCCTTTACAAATTAAATTGACCTCAGTTTCAAAGCGGAATGTTGAAACACTAACTTCTGAAGAATGTTAGTTCCTGGCCTGAGCTATTTGCTAATGATGTTGGAATATAGCTTCAGTCTGAACCTGCGTTTTCCTTTAACCACTTGTATGAAAATGTGAGATTATTCAAATGAAATGGTTGTCCCCCCCGCCCCGATTCGGGAAGGGTTCAGTTGTTAAAGCTGAAGTGTAAGTAAAATGCCTGCATGAAGAGTATTGCCAGGCTTTGCCTGTTAGTGTTTAACTGGTGGCATAAATAAATTTAATTTTTGAAAAGGTGTATTTTTTTCATGAAGAAAATCACATGCAAATTATAGGATCTATTAAACTAATAACCCATACAATTGTTAACTGTGGGCTTATTAGATTTTCTTTAACTTCTTCAGATATAGACCCTGATTTTATTTGAATGTCTTGGGGTGTTTTTCTTCTGCATTTCACAGGGAGCCAAAGCAAGCCAGCCTGACCTTCTCTTGGTGTCAAGACCTGCACGTTGTTCCGAGTTTGCTTCAGACCAATTTGTGGCAAACTTTCATGGTCTGAAATATCCCCAAAGGACTCCTAGTTTTCATGATAGCCATAGATATAGCCAGCTAAGATAGGGTGGCTGAAGGGAGAGGAGTAGTAATTACTTAGTAGCCAATTGCCATGCAGTAAAAAACAACAACCACCAAAAAACCCCCAAACTATAAAACTAAAAGGCCATTTCAGACCACTTACCTTGCATCAGCTGAGAGTCCAAAGTGATTTAGTCCTTACCAGTGCATTAAAAAAAAAAGAGCAGAGAGGATCAAGTTCTGGCATGGAAAACTTAATAATTAATATATTTCAAAAAACAATGATAAATTATTAATAAGAAAATCACGGTCATCGATACTCATGTCAATACCGGAATGCACAGAAACTCATGTCTTCGAAGCATTTTTCTTATCAGAAATTGTCTTGTAAAATGAAACCAATAGGATTTAAAGTTTACCCTCAAGTTTTATGGAGGGTAAACCAGTGTGGTTTTTTTTTTTTTTTTTATAATTTACTATGGGAATTTAGCAGGCACTGAAATAATAAGGCTCTTGAGGACAGGTTTAATGAGGGTCATCTTACCCTCTCCAAACCGCCTTGAGTGCAGTGTGTTGCACCAGGAACATGGTGTCACCTTCACAATTTGAAGAAATTTGTTCCGACACCTTGGCAAATGTTGTGAGGGGAACCCACTGGTGCTTCCTGCCGAGGTTCGTGCCTGGTGCTGGGGGAGCCAGGGCAGGAGGCTCTTTATTCTCCACATAGCCGAGGAAGTTGCCAGAAATGTAGTGTTTTGGGATTCCCAGAGGACGTTTTTGAGGGCAGCCTTCTGCTGTTAGTGAACAGTGTCTCTATTTGGCATTTTTGATCTTAACGTTTTGAGTCTGCAGTAGCAGGAAGAAAAAAAAATCCCTGAATTAAAATATAGAAAAATAAAGAAGGGAATGAGGCAGGATGAGACTGCCTGCTTGCCTCGTCAGATGCCTTTGGTACTGTAGAAGTAAATGCTGCAGGACTGCCTAGATAGACATTAACTAAATGGCAATGATTGCTGGTGCAGAAGCCATGAAGAAAACAGTTCTGTAGATTCTGGACCCATGTCTCTTCCCATATGCAAAAATGCAAGGAGATCATTCCCTAGGTACTTTAAACTGGAGAAACTTAGAAAAGCTGAGGGTCAGCTTGGTGGAGTTATTCCACTGCAAGAGGGCAATGAGCTTGATCTTATTTTTAATAAATGATGATGGATCGTTAGCAAATTTGAATGGCAGCAGCTTTTCCCCCTTTTACCCTCTGGCTGGAACATGGTCACTATCCGGTTACCAGTGCATGTCCAGGCCTGTGCCATAGACAGGATGCTGTAGTTCAGGAGAAGCAAAGCTGCTACTTGCATATCATATCCTGGGGGAAAACGTTTAAAACCTCGCCCCACGGAAGCCCATGTTAAACAAGCTGGATGCCTGTGCAGTAGTATTGCCTGTGCTTCTGCCCCTCTCCGTGGGACCACCTTGGAGATGGGTAAAGGGGAGTTTGCATGCAGGAGAGCAGGGCTTCTACCAGCCCAGGCAGCTTTAGCCTCCTCTGGTAACGTATTGATGAGCGCAGTTCATTTTGTGGCCTACGCAGGCTTCACAGCTTTTGCTTCGTTCTCTGTATTATTTCTTCCTTGACATTTCAATGGGTCTGCTGTCATCTTACCTCCTGCGAAGGAGCCAGTGTTCACAGAGCTGGCAGAGGGCGAGCTGGAACCATCGTCTGTGCCTGCTTGAGAGAAGTAGGTCTCATGCCGAAAATTTTAGCTAACCTGTGTTACATTCTTCTTAATGGCACCTGATTAAATTAATTTTTTTAATTAACATTAAAAGACGTTTCTGCATCAGTCAGAATAATTAGCTAGGATGTGTCATGATCACTGCCAGTTTATTCATCAAATAGTGCAATAGGCTCTTTGACCGGAATAAAAAGAAAATAAATATAGCAGAAGTGAGGTAGCTTCAAAGTGTTTTTTCTTTTTTTTTCATACAAATACATATATATATAAATATATATGTATCTATTTTATAGCACTGTTTACAGTTAATGCTGTGCTACAAAGTAGCCATGATAAATTTCTAGCTGAAATGTGGTCTCTGTTGCTTACTTCAGGCTTCAAAATGCTAGAGATGAGAATGTTCGTTCTTTCATGCACCAGAAAAAGTTATCCACCTGAGGCTGGATAAGGCCTTACAAGATTGTCACATGATACAGAAATAGTTATAATGTGGATGTGCACCATTGCTGGGGTGGGCAGGGCAAGCTGTAGCAAAACGTGGGGCTCGAATCTCTTGGAAGTGCAGCATGGCTGGCCTTCACAGAGATTCGCTGTCTCATCAAAATGGACTTGGAGAGAAAAATGTGCCTAGCAGCATTTTTAAAGTCAGAAGAGCTTCGATGTCAGGCTGAATTGAAAACGAGATTCATGCAGCTGAATTAGAATCTGTGCAAAAAAGATGTCTCCCTTCCAAAAGGAGGGGTTGATTGTGTGATTGTGGTTGGCTTTAGCAGCCCTCAACACCCCCTTCTTCTTGCCTGACAGCTGGATTGCACAGCATAGCTGGGTGAGCTGGTGTTTATTACGTTAAAGTCACCCACCTTGGGAAAACAACCGGTGTTACCGGCATGTGGTGTGCCTGGCATGTGGGTGCCCTGCCAGAAATCATCAGGTGGAGGTGTGGGCACAGGGTAGGTGCAGAATCCCAATGGGATACTTTCTTCCCTTGCTCGATTACTTTGAGTAGGAACAAATCGGTCAGTTGTGCAGGCAGTTAAAATTCTCATCAGTAGTCTTCAAAGTAAACAAATTGGATGTGAACTTTGCCGACCTGTACAGCACTGAGCCCCTCTTGCTGTACATTGAGAGTACGCAGAGACCAGGGTGATACAAATCTGCAGAGCTCCACTGGCAGGAGAAACAGCAAGCCAAGAGATACACAGCAATCTGTGTGTACTCCTGTTTGTGTAGGAACATCTGGAATAGTTCACTTTATATTAGGTGAAGAATTGCTACTAAAAGAGCATGATTTTTTTTTTTCCCCTTCCCCTAGCTGTGTGTTGGACTTAAAAGGAGTTGTAAATGCTAACATGATCTTTGGCCAAAACGTGTTCTGAACCCCATCCTCAATTACTGTAGGATGTGATGGAATATAGCAGAAAAAAATCCACAATAAATTTTAATTATAACATTTCTTATTATAAGAAAGAATTTTTACAGTGAGAATAATCCATCACGGAAACAACCTCCCCAGGGTTGTTGTGGAGTCCCTATCACTAAAGCTTTTCAAGCTGTGGCTGGCCAGGGTGCTAGATAGTCTCATTTCAGCTCCCTTCCCCTTCAAAGGTTGGACCAGGTGATCTTTTGAGGTCCCTCCGACCTGGGATATTCTATAATTCTATAGTTAATGGTTTTGTATTTGCTTAGCACTGCTCAGCTTAGGGTCTCTGCTCGCTTTCAAAGACTCAGGTCTCGGCAGTCAGGCCTTATCTCCACGTTGCAGATTTCTGTTGACCAAAGTCAGAACGGGATTCAGTGGAGGATGAAGGATTTAACTCAGGCCATGTGGTGAGAATAGATCCTGCCATTGGTTTGAGCCTGCCCAGGCGAGCTGCTTGAAGATGCTTGCAAATGATTGCAGTCTCTATCACTGGTGATTTGAAATGGCCTCACTTACTGTATGGCTGTCGTGAGGTTAGACTAGATCTGCTTACTGGTATATCAGATGGGGAGTAGAAAAAGGACAGTCAATCTAAAAAATGGCATTTTTCCTGTACAACGAGGATTTTTTTTTTTTTTAAAAAAAAAAACTTGAATGTTTAATTCTAAGCTTACTGTGTTGTCTTTTGTATTCACAGGTACATTTTGAAAACGATAATTCTGGGCCAGATGCTCTCCTTGTTTATCTGTGGGACTGCTGTTACAAGCCAGTACCTAGCAGAACAATACCAAGTGAATACTCCAATGTTTCAAAGTTTTATCAACTATGCTTTGCTTCTTCTAGTTTATACAACAATGCTGGCATTTAGGACTGGTATGTGAAACAGAGGATGGGAGATTGTGGTTCTTTTTTTTTTTTTTTCTCTCTTCTACATTTTCCGTTCAGATTTTGAAACTAAAGAACTTACTCAATACTCATCCTAGTTTTTTCACGT